ACCTCCGCATCCTCCTGCCAAGAAGAGGTTTAGGGTGCAGGTACTGGGCTTGGGGTTTGGGTTTAGTTTGTAATTTCAATGTGCATCTCAATTTGCGGTAGGAGCTCCAAGGGGCACAATGGAAGGTACGTTGACACGTGCATCTATGCTCATAAATTAGGGGTTCCAACAACGAGGAGCCCCAATACAGACCCCAATGCAATACAATCCTTATTGAAGGGAACCCCTAAAGAGTTCACTATTGCCGGAAACCGTTAACCCTCTGAACCCTCTATGTCCCCACATATCCTTGCATACCCCGATACAAACCCAAAACACTCCAACATCACCCTAGCCCCTAAACCCTAAACCCCCAAACCCTAAACTCCTAAACCCTAAGGCCTCGAGCAAGGTCCCTCACTTGGCTCTACCTGACCCACTGAGAGGAACATCACTTAGAAAGAGGATCAGATTTGCTCATCGCGGTTACCTTTTTGGGTTTGGGGGTCCCCAGAATAAAGAATATAGTATGTTGGGTAAATACAGAGGGACCCTGACTTTAAGGGAAACTACCAATTGTTGACGACCTCTCGATGTGATCTGTTTGAAGCGTTGGAGTTTCGCAAAATCAGGACTATGCAATTCTCAACAGGGCCTCCGGCAATCCTCAATAAATGTACCTAAATAATTTTTGGGAGGCATCAAAAATGATTCCATATAGATCCCAGGGTCCTGTAGAAAAAAATAGTGTAATGCCGGCAGTATCATGTTGAAGTCCACTTGAGGTACCTGCTACTATGATTATGCAGGAACCTAGGACCAAGTACTGACAATTATCCGTATCAAACCCTATATAGTCCAGTTCCCATTTAATTTTCCAAATTCCTGTTGATTGGATTGCTTTGGCAATATCCTCTTAACAGCCCTAAACCCTAAACCGCTATCAGGCACCATCTTTTCAGTAGCAGTAGCCCGCACCGTGTCCTTGGACTTCGGTGACCTCTCCATAGGCTGCGGCACGGGAGCCACAGCTGGTGCCAGGGGAGGAGACAATCGAACAGGGCGCATCAGCTCCTGTTTGTTTTCTTCGGGTCTGGGTTTAGGGAGGTTAGTAGGGAATTAGGGAATTCATTATAGGAATTACATAAGAACTACATTCACTTCCTCCGTACTAACCACCAGTAAGCTTTTTGGCAGCGCTCTTTTCACCCCGCCAACAGTACATGGCGTAAGGTTCACGGGCTTAGGGTTCCTTTTTAGAAGCCCTCAGTTCAGGGTTGAGGACCCGTCTTATTTGGCGTGAACGACTGGAGCGGAATATGGAGAACCTCCAAGATTCTGCGCATGTCGTTCTCAAGGAATTCCATTTCTGAGAAATGAATAGAGTAGCCTTTTTGCTGGTTGAACCTAGTAAAATGCATATTCCTTATAATACAAAATACTATACCCCAAAAGGAGGATATAATCTTACTCTATATTGGGTACCCTAGTATCCCCAAATAAAATACTACTCAGAATATGGTTTAGGGTTCAGGCTGTGAAGGCCTACCCAATAGTGCCAATGTTTTGGAAAACCCCTCCAATGATCCTTTGTTCCCTAGAGGGTCCAAGGACCCAAATAATGGGGTGTTAGGGCCCAAATACTAGACTATTAATGGTACTTGCGCCCTAAAACCCTATTATTTGGGTCCTTGGACCCTTAGGGTTCTAGTCGTATACGATAGACTGCATTCATCCGTACTATGAACCCGCCCTTCCCTCCAAATATCAACCCTAAACCCTAAACCCTGGCGGGGGCAGCCTTTTAAAGAGGGGGAGGGATGCGGCAACTGAACAACCTGCACCTAAGTCTGTCAGTTGCTAACATTATGCTTTTCAAGGCAATGTAGGGACTACGCAAGGGGTATAGGGAATAACAAGAATATGTCATAAGCATGTTATTGTAAAGGGATACTACTGGAGCAAGTCGTGCTGAATGCTGGAGGACTTTGGGGGCCTCTCACACAGCATGCAACTCTCATTGAAAGTTACTTCCATTGATCAGGGATAATATGAGCGGTAACCTAAACTCCTAGTATTCTCCTTAATATCCCCTATACTATTCCCCTACATAATCCCATATATAACCCCCCTTTAAGGAGTTTAAACTATGGCTCATATGTAGGTTTCGAGCTGCCTGTGTTTGGCTTTTTTTGGCCAGAAGGGACAGGTTTAGGGTGTAGGGTTAAGGGTTGAGGGTTTTGGGTTGAGGGTGTAGGATTGAAGGTTTAGGGTTAAGGATTTAGGGTTAGGAATTGAGTGTTTACGGTCAAGGGTTGAGGGTTTGGGGTTAACGGTTGAGGGTTTATGGTTAATGGTTGAGGATTAAGGGTTGAGGGTTAAGGGCTTAGGGTTAAGGATTTAGGGTTGCACTCTGCAACAGGCTGGCGATCTCGGTGCCAGCTATATGAGTTGAGTTGATCTGTGCATTGGCCTGTATGGTCCTGTAGAATCATGGCATGGGTTTGGGGTCCAGGGATGCGAAGACTGCCAAAGATGTAGGCCTCTTTGTCGGCGTCCTTGGCAATTAGGTACAGACCCTCGAACGAACTCACTAAGTTTCCCAAACCAGAATTCTGTATGCAATCCCCGTTATAAACCCATTTGCCATGTTGTGTTCCATCATTGGGGTAGTACATCCACATTTAACGCCTATATAACCCCTGAAGCAACTGAGATCTGTCGACCCCATCGGCATCAATGCGCCAAGTCAAATGGACAGCACAAAGGGCCAACATCTTGTTCAGAACAGCCTTTCTTTCTCATGGGTTTCCCTACCCACCCCTACTCCTACTCCCCCTGGGTCCTCCTAGTTAAGGTTATAGAGGGGTAATTAAGCCTAATTAAGGTTAACTAAGGGGGAACGGTAGTATAGAGGGGAGTATTAGGGGAACAGATGACTTCCATCGATATTGCCTCCCTTTATCCTCCATGGACCTACCAGACCCTCACCGCAGTGGGAGCCAGTAGGGAAGAAGGGCACACATTATGTGGGGAGTATATTCCTCTATTCCCTACTAACCCCCCAATAAGACTAGTTTTCCCGTGATCTTTCGAACTGCCAGACATGGCAAGCTACAAGAACTGAGGCAGTGCATCCAGCTAACCGACAAAATCCTGCATCACTTTATCTTCGTACGCCCTGAGAATGAGCTTGTGAATGACGGTAGTAAATCTAGGGTCATGCAGAATTTATTCCATTAGTCAACGCTCCGTCTTCAGTCCTGCAGAAGCACTGCTTGTCGGCAGAACTGATCCTGCCGAGCAGCTGGAACTCCGAAAAGAACAGCGAAACTATGAAATCATTTAGGGCTTAGGGCGCTTAATCTACAGCCACAGCAGGACATGTGAGTTGCTTCCTCTCCCCCTCGACCTTTGCGCATGGTCAGGACGTATATGTAGGAATGTATTCCTTAAAGAGCCTGTAGTCGCTGGCTTACACAACTCCGCGTGGCGCCTTACGGTGCTCGATGATTTCTCCGACCCCAAATGGTACAGTAGACTCAACTTTCTGCTGGATTCCCCTCTATGTAACCCCCCTTAGGGAGATTGGGGGCGTTGGCTCCTCGATGAACTGGTGAAGCTTCTGGATCTCCTCATTCCATGGCGTGTTCTGCTTCAGCCCAGGGGAGCCGGCGCGTGGGCTCGTTTGTGCCATGGCTTTGCTGGCTTAGATCCCTTTGGGATGCCAAAGCCACTTAAGACTCTAAGACTCTAGACCAAGCTCTAGGTGAAGAACCAAACGGGGGCCAACGCCCTCCGCAAGATGCACCTACTTTCTCAAAAAATGTGAGCTGTTGAACCGGTTGAACCTTCAATGGACTTACGCACCAACACCTGCACACCTCCATGTATCGACCTTATCACAGTCGGTATACACGGAGTATACACCAATGTTGCTGCGTAGAGCCTCGGACCCCGGAGCGGGGGGCGTGAGTCCCACCGCCTTTGCGGGGGGACTTATTCCCTGCGAGTGCTTGACCCACCCGCTGTTTGAGTCAGTCGGAGATTGGCATTTGGCAATTGGGGGGGTGGTAAGGGAGGTGTGTTGGGTTCTGCAGTGATACTAGAAGGGTATCCTATCTCCTCATTGGGCTCCTTTTTTTTTCTGTTTTGGAGGGGTTCTCATTTTGCTGCTGCTTGGAAGCCGGGACCGCCCTGTTGCAACGTACAGTGTTCAGCAGCCTACTTTTCTGTTGGATTCGTGGTAGGAAAAATGAGACACACTCTGTATCACTCTGCGGAAGGAAAGCGCAGAATGTTGTGGAAGTGTAGGGTTTAGGGTTTTTAGTGTTTAGGAAGTTTAGGATGTGGGGAGATATGTCGGACATCAGCATTGATGCCCGTCAAGAATGCCACCCATCATCCACTCTACTTGGAGGTTAAGGGCAACCCTACCCAAACTACTGTACTTAGCAACCAACTTACAAACCTTCAAGTCCCTGAATGTGGTTACACCTTGGTTAGTATACCAGCTATGCTCAGGCTTTAGTTACCCTCAACCTCAAAGTATACTTTCTTGATGATGAGGTCGAACCAAGGCCTGGCGCTCAAGTTTGTCCCAACCCTAAACCCTGAACCTGAGACCCTGAAGCCTATAAACCTTAAATCCTAAACCCTGTACCTTCCCTAACATCCACTGACTCCTAAATCCTAAGCCCCAAGCGCGAACCGAAGCTCTAAGCTCCTAAACCCTCAATCGGTGTGTTTTCCGAAAATTGACGCGACACTTGAGAGGCCGCTATGGGAGGGAGAATGGATTGGGTAATGGGAATATATTGGGATAATGGAAGCCAAAATGGAAACTCCTGTTTAGGGTTTAGGGTTTCCTATAATTCGGAGGGGGCTCCCATGATAAGGATCTAGTATCTACGTTGCGGTCCCCCTTTTTTTGGGAAACTACCATCTGTTCGGGGCCCCTTTCGATGGAATACCATCAGTTAGCACGCAGAAGTCCGAAACCCTCGTCATCTTTCTGCGGCCTTTCCGTCGAGAGGCGGACGCATTTGCTGCTGCGGCGGCTTCAACCTTGCCAGGGCTTATATGGTAGTTTCCCCAAATTAGGGGACCCCAATATAAACCCCAATTTACTGTAATGGGGACCCCCAAAACGGTACCCCTAATTTTGGGAAACCCCCCAATATAGTGTCACGGTTTTGGACGTCTAAGACATTCTAAAACTATCGTGAACAGGAGCTTATCTGAAATGCCGTATTCTGCAAGAGCTCTAACGCTCGTGACCCCAATTACCTACAACTGAATGGGTTCTACCAACCAATCAGGGGAAAGGTACTACTAAACTGCAGGTAATGGGGGAGTACCCGTACTGCCTGAACAGCCATGAGTGCAGTTGGGTGAAGGATGCAGCGCCTGGTCACCGCTCTTTGCTGTTGGTACTGGTGAGCTTCAGCCAGGAATTGAGCATGCAGTTTCCGAGCTGACGAATAATCACTAGGGTCTTGTGATTTGCATTTTTTCTGCTAAGAAATCTGAGGAAGAACGCTGGAGAGCCGAGTGTCGCGTTGCTTTGATTGCTTCCCCAAACCCGAAGCATTACTGTGAAGACACACCAGCAAAAGCCATCACTTCGAGAAAAACCCAAACGGGAGTTCCTAATAATGAGGCTCCCTCCTTTTTACAGCCTGTATATCCGTCCTTACATGTTGTTATTGTAGACGCCGCCCAAAATCAGACCCCAGGCCTCTGTGCGCAGGGGGTTTCCGTGAATGATCCTCAGATTGCGTCACCCTTCCGCTGCACTGCAGGCACATACATGAACGGAATAGGGTTCGGAAGAAGTCTCCGATAACCTATGGGAGTGGCTCTACTGGTCATCCAGGCTTCTGCTAGACAGGGGGTTTCTCGAAATTTAGGGGTATTGCCTGGGCACTACATGAACAATATAGCTGAATTTAAAATAGACCACACTCTTCTCAGAGGGAGGGCGTCGGTGGTAGCTTGCTTTGGGATTTTCTCAATGTTGGTGAAAGGTGGGATTCAACAACTTCATCAGCAAGTGTAACAGTGCTTTAGGTAAACCCTATGTAACCCAAATATTACCCCTATAATCCCGGTAGTTTCCATTTTCTTTTTCCATTATCCCAATAAAACACCAAAATATCCGCAATATGCACTTGACACCCAGCCTTCGAGAGATCCTGCAACTTGAGCAGCTTGTTTTTTCGTGGTTTAGAGTTTAGGATTTGGAGGGTTTGGGGTTTTAGGGTTTAAGGTTTGGGGTAGGTTTTGCAGGGAAGAAGGGTATAGGTTCGGGTTATATAGGAATTATGGGGGCTATACCCGGGTACCATAACATCCCCAAATAGAATACTACTCACGTGACTCGCGACAAAAGAACTGCAGCCATTGTGCTCTCGCAGCTCATGGTTCTTGATGTGCTGCAAGATATCCACCCAGCGACCGTCGGACTTCTGGAAGCAGTTGTAGTGAAAGGCACCTGCGGCCAGCCAACCGGAGTGCACTACGCAAGCACAACCACCAAACCCACTGTGATGACATGCCTGTCAGGGTGTACACCGGATGAGATGTCGTCACGGAGTGAGTGCAAATACGTTGCCTACGAACTCTTACCTTGTACGCAAGGGGGCCTTGCATGTAGCGGCCGCCGTCCCATCGGGAGTCGAAAGTGCCCTCACCGTGAAATGCTCCTGGACATGCAAGCGGCTTCAGTCTCTTGTACTACGTTTTCAGACACAGCCAAGCCATAGAAACAAACAGAGTCTGCGATTTAACCGTGCGCCAAAGTATTTGCCTCACCAGTGCCCTCATAGAGTCCGCCTAGTGCCCGAAATAGTGCCCGATCCACCCCTGCATAGTGCCCAAATTCTTGCTTTTATGAAGAAGGATTTCTATGTTTTTTTTGGCAGAAATGTATTTGGGCACTATGAAGGGTGGATCGGACGCTATTGCGGGGTCTATTCAGGGCTCTACCAAGGTTCTACCAGGCCCACCAAAAGTGCCCTCATAGAGCCTGCCTAGTGCCCGAAAAAGTGCCCGAAATAGTGTCCTCCACCCCTGCGTAGTGCCCAAATTCTTGCTTTTAGGAAGAAGGATTTCTATGTTTTTTGGCAGAAGTGNNCTATTTCGGGCTCTATTCGGGCTCCTAATCAGCATAAGCGGAGACTGCGCGCAGTGTTAGGTGGTGCTGGGTTGGCGCACAAGAAGCGGTTGCAAAGCTTCTGAACCCCAAACCACATATGATTAACCAGTAAGCAGAACACAAAGGTGCCGATCCTTGGAACCAGCTGCCCTCATAAGAGCTGCCGTCAGCCCACACCTGAAATGGAACGTGAAAGTTCAGGGTTTACTTCGGGTTTGGGGTATACTCACATCGGGGAACATGCCTAACAGCAGCAGCGGGGTTGGAGAGGAACCGCGCTGATCAGAATATCATCTGCAGGAGTGGCCACAAGCAAACCGTCGTAGTAGTGGTGGGTAGTAGTACCCAAATGAGAAGCATCATGTTAAACACCTACTATATAGGTACTTCGCAGAAGCTGGCCGCCTGGCAGAAAAGCACGCATCATTTTGCATTCAAAAGCCGTTGTAGGTCCAAACTGTGAGGGACACTACCATTCACGTCTATGTTATCAAGGTCGCACCCCAAACCCGACATACGGAATCCTGAGAACACATGGCACTTTGAATGTCGGACGTCCAGTGCAAACGATCTTGCATGACTCTGCATACTCTGTTCCTAGGGAACTATGGTAGTATGTATAGTTACTAAGCTACCATACTTCCCCAGGGATGTAGCCCCCATAAAGTAGATAGAGTATGGCTTTGG